TAGGGTAGATAAATAGATATCACTACCACAAGATATCAGAACATTTGAACATTTCTCATCATTTAAGAACAGTATTAATAAATTTTATCGTAATAAATTTAAGGTGATAAAGATAGATTTTTATAATTGATTAATAATATATTGTCATGATATTTCATATCATTTGAGCAAACTTGTATAATTTATATATATATATATGTTTTTTAATTGAGGAAGTTTATTTTTATAAAGAATCCTCGTATTCTGTATAAACTGACCCAATTATTCAGATCTTGTGATTTTTTTCTTTTTATTTATTTTAATTGTTAATTTATCTACAATTTGTATGTTAAGATCTGTATAATTAAAGTTGAATAAATAAATAAATAAATATTTTAACGTAAAATGAAGATTAAAAAAACCCGTGGAGATCGGATGTCTGTCCAATGCAAATACGGAAAAGAAGATCTTAGAGTCGAATTTCGCGGTATTCCAGTCTCGAGCTCAAAAAAGCGCCAGACCTCAAAAGAAAAACCAATGGTAAACAAATCAACCATTTATTGACGAAAGAAATTGTATCAAAATGTAAAAATTTATATAATGTAAAAAAGTATAAAAGTATAAAAATATTACTACGAAAACTGAAATAAAAAATAAAGTAACAAATTTAAGCTACGGTATAAAAATGAACACAATTTGGGCACAAAAAAGTGGTCACTCTAAAAATATATATAATGTAAAAGTAGAAAAGTATAAAATGTTATTACGAAAACTGAAATAAAAATAGTATAAAATATGGTTTATGGTATAAAAATTAACACAACTTGGGAGCTAAAAAGTGGTCATTCTGTAAAAATATATATAATGTAAAAGTAGAAAAGTATAAAATATTATTACGAAAACTGAAATAAAAAAAACAAAGTAACAAATTGAAGCTATGGCATGAAAATTAACACAATTTGGGCGCTAAAAAGTGGTCACTCCGTAATAAGCAAATAATAAATCCGAAAATAGCTGAATATTTCTTGAAAAAATGGGAATTGATTGTGGCAATTAAATCTCAACGCTACTTTTCAAAATTTTGTTCCACTACAAAACTTCATATATCAGGTATTTTTCTCAAAACTGTATTAAAAAAAATAATATTCTTCAACCTTGCTTTTTTACCATAGCTACTTAATATATATTTCAGAAGTCAGTGAATTAAATGAACGACATAAACGAATAAAATCTAAAAAATGGTAGAGAAAATGGTTCAAGCAGCTGTAGTTCTTGACATACATTACACATTCCTAAAATAGTTCAATAACGCAATGGTAATATTTAGCACAAATAAAAAGAACACTGAAAAAAAAAAAAGAAAAACAATTGATTTCACGAAGAACCCCCTCTCCAGAAAATTCATTAAAAATCGTCAACTTCTTAAAGTTACAAAATAATATAAAATTATAATTGTAAATAGCTTGCTTCTTCGAAAGTATGTGCATTCAAATGGAGGGGTGTTCAGCGGGAAACGCAACAAAGCTTCGTCAAAAATAGGAACACTTGGCACTAGTCTCAATACAAACCGCCAATTAAAGCTGTTATCCCTTGTAACCAGGTCGCTCCACTTCTAAATGAAGAGAGACCCTGGTAACGAGGTAACCGCTCTCTTCTTTCAAGGATTTGGAGGCGAAAATGATTGTCCAGATTATTCTGTACAAAATGACGGTCATACAGAGGAAGTGAAGTATTCATGAAAAAATAATTGTTTAGATTATTTTCGGACAAAAAGACGATCTTCAGAGGAAGTAACGTGTTCACGAAAAAATTATTGTTCAAAAAGAAAGTAACAAAATACTCTTCAATACAAATACTTTGAATGTAAACAAGATATAAAAACAGACACCTGTAACTATTTTTTCTGATATTTTGTCTTTTACTACGACTTTATAAAGCTCCAGAATCGTTTAAAAATCTGCTCGTCACGTTCATGAAAAAATTGTTGTTCCAAAGTAAGGGGAAAAAAATACTCTTCATTACAGAAACTTTCAATGTAAACAAGATATAAAAACAGACATCTGCAACTTTTTTTTATATTTTGTGTTTAACTGCGACTTTAAAAAGCCCCAGAATCATCTGAAAATCTGCTCATCACGTTTTTTTTTTAAGGAAAACAAATACTCTTCAAGACAAGTACTTTGAATGTAAACAAGATATAAAAACAGACATTTGCAACTTTTTTTTGTTGATATTTTGTCTTTTACTACGACTTTAAAAAGCTCTAGAATCATCTAATAATCTGCTCATCACGTTCTTTTTATGAAAAACAAATACTCTTCAATACAAGTACTTTGAATATAGACAAGATATAAAAATTGACATCTGCAACTATTTTTTTCTGATATTTTGTCTTTAACTACGACTTTAAAAAGCTCCAGAATCATCTAAAAATCTGCTCATCACGTTTTTTTCAATTCAAGTTTTGTGCAGAGGAAAATTAACTTCAGTTTGAAGGAGAACACATTAGAAATATCAACTTGCACGGGAAGAAAAGTGCAAAAGGCGTGTATGACTGATGATGGGCTGCAAGTGGCGAACCTGGAGATGAACAAACCGCGATAAAGCTCCAAAGCACTTCAGTATACAGGGAGAAAGAGAACGTCTGTATGTCTCAAAAAGCAAACCATGTTAGACTTTGGTGTTGTCGCCAGAGTGACGATCCTCAAGAGCGATTCCGTTTATTTCCAGATTCTCTTTTTCTTCATTTCTCTCGTTTTCTCCCAATTCCTCAGGGGTCACGTATTTATAGAAGTAAGACATGATGCCAAACACGATGGCGATCACGCCCATAAGACCTCCATACAAAAACATTTCCCTTTCCTACAGAAAAGAAAAGTTGTTATTTACAACCAATTCGCCTCTTTGTAAGGAGAATTCGAGACTTGCAAGAGCAACTTTCAGTTGAGTGTCCAAAAAATCCGACATTTCATTGGTTTTGATTAACTAACTTATGTGATTGGTCCACAAAACTCGAGACCCATTTTTTAACCAATCAGATGCAAAACCAATACCATTCACGACTTAACTACGTGCATTTTCCCGCGCACAAGACGCGCTATGTGTTTTTACTTGGAGTCTTAATAATTCCTTTCTTCCCATGTGCCTTGCCTCTGATTGGCCTTTGTCATTAGTGAGTTGATCCAGATTTGATGACACTCGGACTCTTGCGGGTTTAAGGGTTAAACACATGCATTCGATCAAGGCAAGAATTGCTATACCATAATCAATTCGTGTTTCATGATTACATAACTCACCACGCCTATTGCTGGTAAAACGGAAGCCAAGATAACAACAATGAGGTCACCAAAAGCAACTGTTAGAAGCCAGAAAGACTGCAATACTGACTTCATGCTGGCAGGAGCCTGAAACACGGAGACGAGCATTGATCAGCCATGAGTATGAGACTGCCAGGAAAAATTCAAGACCTAGCTTTCTTGAGGTACCCTGGTTATGTGGCCCTCCTCTTTGTCAACACAAATATTGAGAGTAGAACAACCAAAAATGCCAAAATGATCTCTCACAATATCCTGTCTATCCCCTTAATAATCAAGATACAAAAATACTATGCTTCCCACTCAGAAAAAAATCCTATCTAACCCTTACAATCGAAAGGGGAAACAACACCTTCCCCACTCCTTCACGCTTTTCTCTAGTGCTCGTGTCCAGACTTTTTCGCCTCTTTGCAAGATGTTTATGAACACGCACGATCCGACAATGAACTTTCATATAAGCTACGAGCAGGCTCTCAGTAACGCTTCGACACGGATGGCGATGCTCGCGGAATTCGAGCCGGCGGGCAATCCGAGCGTGCGAGAGGAATGAAAGGGTTCTGATTCTCTTTTTTGGTGCTAGACTCCTTTCAAACCTCCTGTGCACTCGCTGCATGCGCTGGCGCAAATCTCGCAACCAGTCCCACTAAAGTCGCAACGCGAATAAGAGCCTACTCGTTGGTGGGCGGACGGATATGAAGTAACCTGGTCACCTGAGAGTAAGCAAAACCCAAACCAGTCACAGAGAACATGACTTCAGACGCTGTCAGCACGACATACTGTGGAACTTGGAGTAGTCGAGACACAGTTGTGCCTGGGGCATCCTCGTACATTGAAGTATCAAACTGACAAAATAGAACAAATTAGGATGGAATAATGTATCACATGTTTCAAAGATTCAAAATAGATGAAATGTTACATGCTTAAAAGTATTGTTATATGCATAAAATACAAAGTAGATGGCACAAGGTACCCAATGTTTACCTGGGTTGAGTTATAATCTCCTTCAGGCGGGCGAATGACCACAGTATAACCACCAAAGTTGCCAAATTTGATTTTCCTATTTTGCTCCTAGAATGGCAAAAGTTAAGAAAAAGAGAGAAATCAGTTAAGAAAATATTAGAGACGATTACTCTCTAAATATGTTTATAAAGCTTTTTGGGTTGCAAGGCAATAAATGTACGCGATGTAAACGCTCCCAATACGAAAAAGAAACGGCGCGGGGAGGAAGATTCTCTAAAGATTTTCTCATTCTGAAACGCATTAAGCTGTTAAAAAATTCGAAAGGACCGTGTTTTGAAAGACATTATCTTTTGTTATAAAACACTCGATGCAAGTTTGTAATATATTTTCACGAGCTCTATCCAGTTCAATGGTACACCACGTTTTCATTTGATGGTCAGCGTTATCCTTCTTAGGACTCTCCGAACGAACTATTTAAATCATTTCACTTTTTCACACTCTCTTCGGTTATCCGTTTGCCCCTCTGAAGTCGCGATTGGTTCTTTTTTTATAATATCCACCAATGACGTGATTTATTGAAATACAAATAACTATTTCTATTGTAAAACTGATAATGTTATGCATTCTAATGCGTCCATCTCTTAACATTAGCACTCACCTTGGAGTGAAACTTTGCGCCATTCGTTGCATGCATGATAGTGTTTATGTAGTACCTATAGTGATAGAAAATTGAAGATCAAAAGAAAGGAAAGATATTAGTAGTGTAACAAAACAAATCGCCAAAGGAAATTTTTAAAAACCACCACTTGCAAGCTTCCAAGAACCTATGTCTCTCCTTCCTTGCAATTAGTTATTCAACACTTGTAATCAAGTGTTGAACAGCTTGTTAGAATTAAGGGCCACTTTTTGTATCAATAATTCTGCCACGTGTCATCATTTTGTCATTTACATTCACTTACTCTCTATTTTCACTTCCATTCTTAAAGCTTTCAGTGTCATTCCTCGATGGGCTGAGAGGTACAAACTGAATTGCGTCACGCGTGATGGTTAACGGGAAACACTCGCAAAACACAACACGCATTGCGCTTCAGGGAGGGGACGCGCTTTTAAAGGGGCAGACAAGACTGGACGAATAAAATTTCGAGTGTGGCACAAAATTGAGGTCAGAAAACCTGGCGTGAAACCCTACACTCACTCTCCAGTTGCTATGAGACTGTATGATGAGTTCTCAATCCCAATGTTCTTCAAAACGGTTGGTTCGACTTTGCTCAAAATGGACTTGAATTCCACATCCACCCTCTCGGGAAGATTAGCCGCACCAGAATAAATCACCCTGAGAAAAAAGAAGTAAGTGTACATTAATACATAAAGTTGCCCACTAGGAAAGGCATATGTAACGTTGGATACTCCAATAAACACTCGGGTAATAAGATATTTAAAAGTTTTGTCCAGACTGTGCGCGTGGAATTTCAATCGTATTATTGCACGCATTTCAATAAACTGCTTTTAAGCCATAACGGACATAATCACAACTGCTAACCTGATTGGTTCAGAATGTAGGTGCGCGAAAGCAAAGTAATATGAAACCAATGCAACCCCGGATTACTTTCCACAAGTTGTATCAGCTGAATCGGGTTGTTCTGCGACTGATGTAAATCCTTTTTTTTATGAGAAACTACAACAATAGCAACAACAAAACAAGTATGACTCACCTAACACGGGTTTCAGCTTTGTTTATATCAATATCTGGAAGTTTAATGGGATACTGAGGAAAAACGTAAATCTGTCACTAAAGATAGTGAGCAAAACTTTTCGTGAAATTATCTTATCAAGTTGACGATGCCAGTTCAAGCTACAATTGATTTATTACTGCCTTTTAACCTCGATCAATAAAAACTTACGATGGCTGCGAAATAATTCAAGAAACTGTCGATGAAATGGCAGAATCTCGATCTCTCTCAATTTCTCGAAAGGGTTTCGAACTCTCTCAGTTTTCTTGATCAAGGGGTGATAGTCTTTCGAGAGCCAAGCCCTATTAGGTGCGACTGGTTAAAAACCTTATAACAATTTGGCCCTATTTCTTCCATAAACTGAACTTCCATGGAAAAACAAATTAAAATTTGACCCTACCTTGTTCAAAACAAATTCATCCTTGGCGATTTCTACTACGGCGCTAAAGACTTTCTTGTCATCCAACTGTAAACTAGATCGCTTCTCTTTCACGTTGCATCCGTTACCCTGAGCAGTTACTGTAAAGTTCATGAGGCCGGCCTGACCAACGAAAACGTCTGATCGCTGGATTTTGAATTAGACCGTGAAGAGAACAAAAAGGAAAGTAGAAGTTGACAAAAAATGAAAACTCTCATGAGACTTTAAATATCAGATCTAAAAGCGCTCTTACATGGATTATACAGGCATTTTGATTGGTTCTTACTTATGAGATATTGGAGGACGGACGCATAGATGACGTCACGATCATAGATTTTGCTTTTTTTTGCGTTAACCCTTTAGCCCCTAA